TCTCGTGACGTTGTGGCTTGACGCTGCTTATTGTATTTGTGTCATCAAGGCTGCCGCCGCCTGTCTGTACCAACTTCAGACTTTCTATTTCCATCATCGCAGCCGCTGGATGGCCTGATTGTGCCATTACATTACGGTCCTCTATGTTTCCAGCGCAACGCTTCTGATATGCTGGTAAGTACTGCCAAGTATCCTCCAGTCGTTGTTCTATCCGCTGATTTACACTGTGCAGTCTCGCTGCGCGAACGATATCTGATTGATAGCATGCTTGTATCTAAGCTAGCTACGCCTCCAACATGCTGACCACCGCCTCTCAAGCCATTCCACGAGCGCGGGCTCTCCGCAGCCGAACTCTTACCAATACCCGGGCCCTCGATAGTGCTGGTCTCTCGCGCTGCCAGCAGGTCCGGGGTTTCCGGTTCAGCCTATGGAACGTTCTGACGGACGAGTTCCGGCGCGATGCCTACCAACAGCGGAAGCGTGACCTGGAACGCGAATACGTAAAGAAGTATGGTCAACGGTTCCCATGGGCAAAGCCTACCTTTTATCAAATTTCCCAGGAGACCACGGGCCATGTCCATTTGCGCTACAAAGGTAGTTCATGCAGCTCTGGGGACTTGAAAAAGCAACAAAGTCCTCCAAATCCCGAAGGGCTGCGACCAGGTCAGAACATCGAGGACGTTGAACGTGGTGCGATGGACAATTTGGTCTTTGGACACAAGAGTGAATCACAGCCCGCCGCCCGTAGCCGAGAATCCGATAAGGCTTCAGCCGCGGAATCGAGCACACAAGTCCCCTATTCTGGACCCGTGGAGCCTGAAGATTTCATTATCGATCCCATTACAAATCGCAAAGTCTTCAAATCGCCGAACTCCTTTACCAATACGAATGGCAGTATTCCGGTGAAAACGAAGAAGAACAAAAATGCACGAAATCGTACAGAGGAGCCTAGTGCATCGCATATTTCTGACGGGGAAGATCCCCTGCACGTCGATCTGCTCAAAGATAGTCCCTTAGAGAGTGCGAATTTTGGTAAAATTGACAACGGACACCGAGTCTCACAGCAAGAACAACTCAAAGCTGCTATTGAGAAGGTCCACAGCCAATTCGGCGACCTAGGACCACCCTCTCCAGAAACCCCCTCCAGTCTCAGCGACAATGCGCATAAAGCCCTCAGTAAATGGACACACAAATCAGTGCTGAGACAGATTAGGGCTGGGATCAAAGAAGGCCTCAAAAGTCACGACGATTTGTACAAAAAAAGTCCCCTCACAAGTGACACGTCGTCGATGCCACTGGTGCGGCCTCGTAAAGAGGCGTCCTACAGCCAGGCGCATATTCCCAGTGAGACTTTCGGCGAGCCTTCAGGATGTACCGTGAGCTCTCCGCCACCTGACAAATCGTTCCAGTCTCGGTCGCATTTTGAAAGGCTAGAGCCTGTGGATTTCCCGCCGTCAACTGTCAAAGACTTGCGCATCAAGTACGGTCAAAACAACCTGAAACAATATACTGTGACCAGAAAGATTGAAGCCACCACGAAGATGCCCTCAGCAGAGATGCAGAATTTGAGGCGCCAAGGTGGCCCAGGTCCTCTGAATACGAAAAAGCAAATCGAGCACTCATCAGCACGCCCTTTGCAAGACCGGGATGGAGAAGCTCCCACAGAACATGAAAATTTTAAGAGAACAAGCCTTTTTAAGCGTGCCGAAGAAAAGCAGTCGAATTATCGGGAGATGCTCGACTCGCTGATGGAGCAACATGTACGTTTGTCGGATGCCGCGGATCTCGAGGCCAGTCGTGCTGTCAAGATGGCGAGTGCAAAGGTGCAGCAGAGCACTGCGCAGCCCAAGATGACCGGCAACTACGTGCGCGACTTTCCTGAGGAATTCGAGAAGTCTTGGACAGAGACACTTGCTACAATACCTCAGATCAATGAGAATGGGGAATATGAGGGTTATCTGCCAAGCGAGAAGATGGATGGAGGACTGGAAGGGGGGTTTGGTCAGCCTAAGTTCACGAGGATTCAGCCAGCGCTGGATCGACATTCCACGAAAGCGCCGAGGACCGAATCAACATTCGAAAGCCTCAAAGACGATGAATCAAAGGCATCCCCTCACAGCGAACATCCAGCACTAGTCGAGCAGTCCTCGAACCCGGCTGCATCAATGGAAGCAAGAGCAACGCCTATGAAAGAGCCGACAAAGCCCAGCGCAAACACCGGCTTTCAATCGACGGACTACTCTAAGCTCTACAAAATTCTAGCATACGACCCAACCATGCAAAAGGTCAATGTCGCGGAGACCACGTCACTTGTTGCAGACTTTGCATCAGCACTTTCGCCGGCAGACGCTCTTCTTCGCTTATCGCACCCGACGAAATTCTTTCCTCATTTTGCTGCACTCGAGGCAGAGGGATTCGAGATTGTCTCTGGCAGTGGCGACGTCCTCGTATTCCGCAAGGTTCGCCCTTCGTCTAGCAACCAGACAGGCGAGAATTTCTCGGAAAGCAAACCAGACCGTGCCTCTTTTCCAGCCTTGGAGCGCCGGTCTGCTACCACAACCATCAACCCAATCGATATGACTGGTCGAAACAAGGCCATGTCACCAGCTAGCGCCAATTTTGCGTCTCCCACGGGGTATGTCGCCTATGAAAACCTGCCAGAGAACGAGGTCAGTAACCTGCCGCCGCCGCCGCCGCCGCCTCGGGTCAAGTACAACATCAATGTTCGGCGTGAGGAGCCTGTATACAGTGGGCCAAAAGAGCAAACAGGCGATCAACAAAAGAGGAAAAAGAGGCCCGGCGTGATCAAGAGAATGTTGCTCGGTGGGGCTTGGGTTGCTGGCATTAGTTATGGTCTGGGCGTCCTTACCGAGTATTTCACAACTGGAGGTGTAGATGGCAAGGGACCCAGTGGCTTTTGAACGACCATGGATGTGGGTCGGTGAGGTCAATGGTGCTTCAACGCTCGTCAGCTGGGACACTGGCGCGAATGTGGCTCGTCAACGAGCCAACTGCAGGCACTGCCAGCACTGACGGCTCAATCTCACGGGACTTGTGAAGTAAAAAGCTTCAGCCAAGGATGAGTGAGCCGCAAGGAGCAGAGTCAAAAAGGAAGACGGATGATGCGCTGCACATGGCAAGAAGTGCTCGAGAATGCCGACGTCGTGAGAGTTCTTCCTTTTTTGTTGCCGAGAATTGTAAGTGTGTGAATGCTGGAGAAATTCCCACCTTTTGTTTTTGTTTTTGTTTTTGTTTTTGGTACTGTCCCTTACCAGATAAGAAACGAGTTTGGAGCCGGTCGGCAGCACCGAGCTCAGCACATGCACAAAGTTATAATCTTTGTTTGGGATGCTTTCTCAACTCACTTCTATTGATGCTTTTTTATCTCCTCGGTATACGGCTGCAACGGGGTCAATCATGGCTGCACCGTATACTTCGCAGAAAGGCACAAGTTCAGGATAATCTAGAAGATTTTGCATGTGTACATAGCAAAACAGACACTCTCAATTCACTTGATCGATATTTGGAACGATTCATGCATGCTATTCGAGCTTTGCAAAACGGTGTCTTGCTGGAGTTTATCATCCTCACAATCTCGGCGACGAGCGAACTGGATACGAAGAATGATCCAGTGAATGATTGACTATTTTTTGAATGGCTGTGGTGCAGGTCATTATTATTGCTTAGGAAGAGAATCATGCTCGCCTTCTCAGAAAATGGCCCCAGGTTGACTTCGCCTCGTTCTTTGATCATGCAATGAGCACTAATTCATCCACCGCCAAGACCGTGTACCAATGCTTCCCGCTGAAGGCAATCTGAAGGTTGTGAAGCAATCTTATCCGTGGCCCAAATATTTCTCGCATCTCGCACCTTGCGTCCTGCATGCCTCATCTCCCAGTATCAAAAGTCAATTTCATCATCGCGCAACGCACACAAGACTCGTTGCACAGGCACGGAAGGACAAAACGACTGCTTCCCTTTCTCAAGATCTCTCACTGAACCCAGCAGCGTCGCCGGTGCCCTGAGGTCCAGCCGACAGCGCCCCACTCGCTGCCATCATAGCATGCTTGTGATCCTCGCGATCAAACGAAAAGGTGCGCTGGAGGCCCTGCGGCGAAAACGCCGAAGCTGTTGAAGTGTGAGAGAAAGCAGAGGGGGAAGTAGGCGGGTGCCATGCAGAGGTGCGGCGTTGGGCCTCGGCGGCGGACTTTTCAGTGGTGGGAGAGACGGGCGCTGCGAGTTGGTCGGCCAGGTCGACGTGTGTGTCGGGCAGAGTGATGGTTTGCTTTGGAGCTGCCGAAGACATGTTGTTGTTGTTGTTGTTCGTTAAGGAAGAGGTGTTGATTGCTCGTGTATAGAAGGGGAGAGTAGTCGACTTGTTATTGTGATTTGTTCCGGAAACCAGTGTATCGGATATGGTGGGTTTGGTGTTTGTAGACAAGCAGATTATCCGAGTAGTTTGATGAGGTGCATTGATTGAGGATTCCTAGGGACTCTGAGTTCTTCTTATGCCTAGAAAAGATCAAGAAGCAAAAGAGAGCAGTTGGTGGAGTGATGAGCGAGGGATCAAGAACTTTGAGAAGTCTCACCTGATTCCCCAAGTCTCACCACGACGTAATCCTGCGTCTCTGTGTTGCTCATTGCGAAAGAGGAAACGACAGCCAATGAAAACGGGTTGCCACCTGCCAATCCTTTGTTGCTGTTGGACCCCTAAAAACACACAAACACACAACTAGAGAGTCCAGACCGGAACCTTTATCCGAGCTGGGCGATTGGTTGCGATACTGCGAGCCACCTGCAGAGGTCCGACCGAAGAGTGCATGTACACGATGCGGGGTAGCTGCTGCCCCTCATTTTGTTCCAAGCGCCACCAAAGTCACTTTACGTTGATCATTCGATACCAAGGCTACAAACATGCAAGCATCGACAGGTGTTTTCTAACTGTAAGGCTCAGCTAGTGTGGTTATATTTTACCTATATTTTGGGCTTTGTCATCAAATGGTCCCGTAGCTCAGTTGGTTAGAGCGTCGTACTAATATTCCTCAACGAGGTATATTACGTAACAAAGCTACGTCTAATGCGAAGGTCGCGAGTTCGAAACTCTCCGGGACCATTTTTTGTTTGGTGAACTCTTCGCACCTGAGCGCCCTGTATTCTGAATTTTTATCGAATAATTCACGAGAAATATTGATTAGAACAAGTTGAAGAGGTATAGCATGAAAGACCGACAATAAGCTATATGACTAGTAATACTCAAAGTAAAAAGAAAATCCAAGAATCAGGAAGAAAAGTATCAAGTTATCATTTTCTTTGAGCAAACAAGTAGTCCATATTTTCCTGCATATTTGCCTATCCAGCCCTTGCGATAAATGAGCCTATTCTTCCAATTTTTCTATAGCCTCATTAAAACCCCTGTTTCCCAGTAGAGTAAGCTCCCATCAGAGATCCCAAACAGAGGCAAAAAGGGACATAACACTGCAGCTTTGTGAGCCGACTTGATAAAATACATATTGGAGATTGTACGTCGCGGTTCGCAGCTGCATCTGAGGCCTTACTTGGAGTCTTGGCCACCGAACTTGTCCGCACTTGGGCTCGAGGCAAGGCTGACTGGATAGTCGACGCATGGTCAAGGACGTACACCAGCCTTGACATCTAGACGTCACCCATAAACATGCATCTCCTGACTGGTCCAGCCACGGTCGATCTCCACTCGTCCAGCATGACGCCCATCTCAACACGAACATCCTCCACAATCACATCCTAGGAGCAAAAGATTGGTTAGCAGACACACAAACAAGCAGGCAGACATGTGATGATACACATGCTTACCATTTTGATGTCATTTCGATCGTAGCCAAAGGGGTCCTCGAGCTGGCACGCAATTGCCTCAATGCCATACAGCGTAAACATAATAAGCGCCACAATCAACACCGCCCACCAATGGCTCTCATCCACCACAGCAAACGGCAGCACGCACCCAAACAACGCCAGCACCTGCCGCTGGTGAATCAGGATCGCCACGGGAAACTGCGTCAGCCGGATCGTCTCCATCTTGCCAAACGCGTCCATGAGCGTGTTGACCTGCACCGTCAGCTGCGACGCCTGCGGCGCATGGAACCAGCCTCGTGCCTGCCCGCGGGCGATGAAACCTTCGACGAGAAACATCAGCTGCACCGGCAGCGCGAGCCCTTGGTCCTCGTGGACGCGCAGACCTTGCGGGAGCAGACCTTGGCCAGGGTATGCGTGCTGGTCTGGAGAAACCATGCAGGAGGCAGCGAGAGCGCCCCATTCCGTGCGCAGGGTGTTTTTGATGCTGTCCGGCACAGCAAGCAGGGCGCGAGCGGTGCGTTCTACGTCTGCGCATTCGGCGGCAGTCAGCTGCGTTTTGCACGCGGCATGTGACGATGCTTCTTGTGCGTCCGAGCCCCAGGGTTCCCAGGCGGGCCCGCCAGAGCAGACCAGAAAGGACCGCATGAGGTTGCGCACCGAGGTGATGATGGTGGCAAAGTTGTTGCGCCCGTCCCAGAAGCGCTGGTAGGCCGTCTGGTTGCGAAAGACGAGCATGAGACCGACTACGATGGACAGCGATGACACGACGCTCGAGGGGAGGCCGAAGCTGTGCTGCAGCCGCACGTGCAAGAACACGATGAGGGTGGTGAATGCGGCATGGAAAAAGACGGCAAGAGCAATGTCTCTATGGATGGCTCCCTTGATGAAGCGGAGCACGAGAGGCCATCTTTTTGTTGTGATTGTTGTTAATCATTGCTCTCAGTATGGAATCATGTTTGCATGGTAAGACCGCACCTTCGAGGTTTTCGGTTGTGAAGCTGATTGTAAGGGTAGGCGACCTTGCGTCCCAATGTCGCTGGCAGGTGCTGAGACTGAGAGAGCAATGTGTTTGGCGTGTCGTGAAATGGCGGTGAGGCCGACCTGCTTCTGGCTATTTGATCACGGTATCCGGGAGCCATCCTGGGGATATAAGTCTGTCTCTGTGTTCAGGGTCTTTCTCTTCACCTTGTTGGGTCGGTCAAGGAATGAATGCAAAGACAATGGAAAAGAAGAAGGTCTATCGCAAGTAAGGGAAACCCCTTGAAAGAGAAAAGAACCTATCGAGGCCAGCGAGTGCCCAGGGGGCTTGCACACGAAACGAGAATGGCGCGTTTAGCGCCTTGAAGTGATGGTGACTGACTTGGATAGACCAAGACCCATAGATAGAAAGCGGCCCCACAAAACGTCAGATAGGATCGGCCCTGATACAAAGCCACCAACGGAGTCAGGACCTGCAGATAAAGCATTGATTCAGCTTTGGATGCATCAAGGTACGCCCAGGACGACAGGAACACTCTCGGTTCCCGTGGCTGGGTTTTGATTGAAAATGAGCAGCACTCGGTTTTCAACTCACTCCTCTGGCGGTTATCGTGTGTTTCTAACCTAGCACAAGATTCTCGTGTAGATTTCCATGTAAGACCATTGGCTCGCTTGGGCTCTACGGACCCACTTGATGGTGTCTGTACTCTTGGTGGATGCGATGATGAACTGTCACGGACAAGGGACGCGAAAGAAACAGGCTGCACAAAGGTCTTGCTGTTCGCCGCATGATAGTATTGTCTGGACTCGCGTGCACCCCAGTGCGAATTATATTACTCGAGAATGCTTTATCGGTTAAATTTCCATATTTCCGTCGCTTTGGATTCGTTAATTCCCACATGATATATAACGCCGTCCCAAGAGACCTTAACTGTGCAGATATGGTAGCTACACAATGTGTCGTCGTCCTAAGTCGAGGAATGGAGGCGTGGGAAGATATTCGCATCCCTCGTATCTTGAGTCATTGAGGCGTCTTCTGTGCACTCAAATGTATGTAGAGCTTGTCGTTGGCGCAGGGCTGGCGCTCGAGGAGCTCTGCCTCGAATACCACGGAGGCGTCTAGTGCTGGACGACTAAGACGGACTCAGCGAGTGAGGACAGGCGCAAGTACCCGACACTGTGAGTACTTAGGCACCTACCTGGGTTAGAGATCTGACTAACGTGCCAAGGCTCCTGCATATGCCAATTTTTAGAAACTCAACACATACGAGCCTGTCTGCAGTGGTTCCTACTAGCCATGTAATACAATTGCCGTTGAATCAGGGACTACGACGGCCTGGGTTCCAGGCCAGCCAGGCTGTACAGCCGCTTCTCGGTCAACAGAGCAGTAACAGTCCAGCTATGTGACTTGCACCGACAGTCAGAGCCACTACTGCCACAAACACATTCTGTATTCAACAAGAATGCATGGCTGTGGAAGTATGAGTAGTAGCACGGAACTCGCTATGCCGCTGAATCCTCTAGCGGCCCGCGGTAAGAGGAACCCAAGATGCCAGTCTCCAGACAAAGATAGAAAATACCAGACCCCAGACATGGGATTTTCGAACAACATGCTAAATGAGAATCTGATTTGCCCATAGACCACTTGTTTGCTTATAAATCATTCAGAATCGATGGGAGGCGGAAATATGCCACTTGTACAGCATTTTGGACATCGCCAACAACAACAGCAGCAATATTCCGTGAGCTCGTGTCAAGTTGGTGGCAGTCCCGGCGCCGCAGCAGTGCATAGTCACGGCAACTGCTTGTGACCAACCAGTCGAGGGCTCGGAAAACCAACTCGCTTCATGGCTGCTTTTTCAGAAGCCTCTGGTCAGATCTTCGTTGAGTTTTCTTCAGTCAACGCAATGGGTATATCAACGTATGTTCCTGAATCACAAAACACTCCCATATGCTCATAACCGCTGCAACACTGTTTGCTTCCTTCTTGAACATCGGTGGCCGTCTTCTGTATCTAGGCAGCCCAGTCGATGTGAGCAGGACAACAATATGCACCTGCAAACATGTCTTGTAGACGCTATAACTTTGCTGCTTCGGGTGAAGAATAGTTTCTGCAGCAATGCAAAACTTAGACGGACTTTTAAAAGAAGACATTTTTAATTGAAACACAATAAAACAAGCCTATAGCTGCAAGATATTTGATTCGCCAGCGTATATTTCCAACAGCTGAAGCTTCGGGGAAAACCAAAACAATGAAAGGAAAAGAGCCGACAAAAAATACCAAGATCGTTTTTTGAGATACAGTGTCCGGATATACGCAAAGACTCGTGAATCTATGTCATCTCCAATCTCAACAGAAAGTGGCTCGCTTGGCCTCCTGCTTCAGTTGCTGCAGCCATGGCCTGCAAAAGTTTTGAATTTTTCCTGTTACTGGTAATCACAGTATTATTGCTAGTAGATATGGGTTAGGCACGGTTCAGGCTTCAACATCACAATCGTTATTTTGATAGACCACCCAACGGCTGTCATCCATCTCAAGGTAACTGAATGAACACCGCCAAGTTGGAACACCAGTATAATCAAAAGTCTCTACTAAGATTACTTTACCACCATTCACCATGTAATTATATCAGTGGAATAAGCTAGGTTTATCATCCGAGAATATATATAATCTTGAGAACAAAATAGGATTCGCAAACTTTTGATATTTTGCTAGGTAGTTGGTATCGAAGATTCTCCTAGAAGTTGCTCTGTAGACTATGAATTATGAATTCCTCTTTGTGAATTTCTGAGGCCGAAGTGCTGATATAAAAGAGGTACCAGGCTGCTTAACCCATATTGTGGCGTCTTGCCATTATATAATTGTAAAAAAAAAAAAAAAAAAAAAGGAGCGTAATGGATTATTAATTATAATATAGTTCGTTGATGATATACGTATTATGCGCCATTCAATGGACAAACGATACCCTACCATTACATAAACCTCTTTCCCCCGATCACAACAAGTTTGTTAGATCGACTTTTGTCGGTCCTTAGGGGCCTTCTGAAGATTTGAGCTATACAAAAAATAGATCAAATGGGTAGCGGTTTATTTCTCTCTGTTGGGGTGTCTTCTGGAAGGAAGCTATCTCAAAGTGGGTCCCCGTAGGCCCCAGGCTTAATTACGCGTGCCGCGCACATGTCGGCTGAGTTAGCAAAGCTGACTCGACGTGCGCCCCGTAGCCTCTGCCACACATACTTGACGGAGCGCAGTGGAGTAAAGCAGTTACACTCATTTCACAACACTGGGACACCAGCGATGACGAA